AATTAAGAAAGAAATCTTCCAGCTGGGTGTGGTGGCTCATGCCTGTAATCCCAGCATTTTGGGGAGACCAAGGTTGGGTGCATCACTTGAGTCCAGGAGTTTAAGACTAGCCTGAGCAACATGGTGAAACCCCATTTCTACCAAAAAAAAACCAGTTAGGCCGGGCACGCTGGCTCACGCCTGTAATCCCAGCACTTTGAGAGGCTGAGGCAGGCAGATCACGAGGTCAGGAAATCGAGACCATCCTGGCTAACACAGTGAAACCCCATCTCTACTAAAAATACAAAAAAAAATTAGCCGGGCATGGTGGCGGGTGCGTGTAGTCCCAGCTACTCAGGAGGCTGAGGCAGGCGAATGGTGTGAACCCGGGAGGCAGAGGTAACAGTGAGCCAAGATCGCACTGCAGCACTCCAGCCTGGGCGACAGAGCGAGACTCCGTCTCAAAAAAAAAAAAAAAAAAAGTCGGATGTAGTGGTGGGCGCCTGTAGGCTGAGCTACTGAGAGGCTGAGGCAGGAAGATCTCTTGAGCCCAGGAGGTGGAGGTTGCACTGAGCTATGGTGGTGCCACTGCACTCCAGCCTGGACAGTACAGCAAGACACTGTCTCAAAAAAAGGAAAGAAATCTTTCTCTTAGAGTCTAACATATTAGCTAAAAGTGTAACTTTTTTCTTTTTAAAAAAGAAAAAAACTTTGTTTTATTAAAGTTACTAAGCACAGTGTCCTGTGGCTCTAGCCAATTGGAGACAGTTGAAATCTGAAACAAGCCATATCTAGGTATAACTGACAGTTGGCTCATGATTTATGGTAAAATTGCAGATCATCGTAGCTGAGTGCCACCATTTTGGGTGAAATACAAACCCCAGACTGTCTTTAGACTCTTAAGGGCTTGACTCCCAAGACGGGACTCAAGGACAAAGGGTCTTGATTCCACTTGTCAATCAGGAGAGTGATCAGAATAGAGGGAGGGATCGGAAGAAAAGCTCCGGGGTGGCTGTCTTCGGAGGGTGAGGATGCAGCGTTCATTTCCTTGGGACTCTAAGGCTCCCTCTTCGTCTCCAAGAAGAATTCTGAATGGCAGGCTGGGAAGATTCTATCTGCACTGGCCTCCAGACCCGGCAGTCTGTATCAGAAACCTGGGCTTGTGCTCCTATGCAGGTGCCTCAGGAGGGAGTTCTGAAATAGGATTTATTCAGGAGCACTGTGATTTATCACGGAAACTTAGTGATAAAAATCAGGCAGTGGCCTACATGCTCTCAGCCTCAGCAGTGCCACAGGGGGCCAGAGCTCTTCTACCCAAAAAAGAGCCTCTCTTGTCCATCCTGTTGTATCATGGGAGAGTCTGAGGAAAAAAAGAGGGTTAGTGGTTAGTTTTGGTTTTTTTTGTTTGTTTGTTTTTGTTTTTTTTAAGGCGGAGTCTCCCTCTTTCACCCAGGCTGGAGTGCAGTGGCGTGGTCTCGGCTCACTGCAACCTCTGCCTCCCAGGTTCAAGCGATTCTCCTGCCACAGCCTCCCAAGTAGCTGGGACTACAGGCGCGTGCCACCACTCTCCACTGATTTTTTGTATTTTTAGTAGAGATGGGGTTTCACTGTGTTAGCCAGGATGATCTCGATCTCCTGACTTCGTGATCCGCCTGCCTTAGCCTCCCAAAGTGCTGGGATTACAGGCGTGAGCCACCGAGTGTCTAATCTTTAATGCTGTGAAATTGCCACTTCTATCCACGTGGAATTCCGGAGAGGGGTGCTGGCTAGAACGGTGCTCATAGCAGAGACGTGAGGCCCTGACAAGGAGGGCCAGGGCTGCCACACTCCTCACTGTGTCTGCAGCGTCTAGCACGGTCCTGACTGGTGTGGGTGCCCTGTATGGGGCAGGGACACCTTCAGGATATCTTTTCTGTGGATTTCCTCCAGAAGGACCATTGAGTGGCCCGGTGTGTGCATTTGTCCCAGTTCACCACCAACTAGCCATAACACTGAACAAGGTACTTTCTCAGGGATCTCAGTTTCTGTGCTACAGAGGTTGGAATGGATGATTCCTAAGGTACCTCCTTGTGCCATGGAAGGCCGTAAGTGTCCCTGGGGGACTGATGGTGTAATTGCATCGAGGAGATGCAGCAGAGGTTGGGGTGAGGCGGAGTGGTGGTTGTGCAGTCCTGTTGGTTGTGATTAATAACGGACCAGAGTCAGGACCCCTGAAAGAAACAGTGTGGGTGTCTCCCAGTGTGCACCACTTCTTTATGAAACTTCTCAACTTTTAAAACTCTCTACCTGTCATTTTTCAGTTTTCCTGTGTCCTAATCATGACCATTTACTTTGGGCTACATCCTTTACATACTTGAGCTCATTCAGTCCTTGACAAAGCAGCCCATTTACAGATGAGCTGCCTAGACGCAGGGATACTCAGGAACCTGCCAACCTCACTTAGCTAAGAGGTGTAGGCCCACGGCTCTCCTGCTGCGCAATTTTCTTTCTTTTTTCTTTCTTTCTTTTTTTTTGACACGGGTTTCACTCTGTCACCCAGGGTGGAGTGTGGAGTGCAGTGGCACGATCACTCCCGAGTAGCTGGGACTACAGGCTCACACCACCATGCCTGGCTAATTTTTGTATTTTTTGTAGAGATGGGATCTCACTTTATTGCCCGGGCTAGTCTCAAATTCCTGGGCTCAAGTGATCCCACCAGTTTTCTGGATCACTTCCCTTAATTTGTTGGGGTTTTTTTGTTTCTTTTTTTTTTTTTTTTTAATCTTTTTTCCTAGGCCTGCCGCTGGCTCCAAAATGAAGAGGCTTGCCAGCTCCCAGTCTAGAGAGTTGATAGAATCTATCTTGATATTCACATGGAGGCCTTCAAACTGCCCACCCAACCCTCTTGAGTTACGGAAGCCCTTCATGTTGACTCGCTTAGTATATGTTGAGGGTAGTAAGTTCCCCCTTGTGAAGTGTTCACAAAGAGGCTAGATGACCTCGTCTTGGGGTTTTGATAGAGAATTCTTACATGTTAACCCCGGAGAGAGACAGCTTCCTCAGGATTCCTTCTAGACGATTCTATGGTGTGCTTGGACACTTCGCAACTGTTGATATGCATGATGGGAACTTGACTTTTGTTACCTCTCCTCTCTTCACACCTTGCTCAGAACACCTGGCCAGGCAGCAGCAAGGAGGCTGCTTCTGCTGAAAACATACTTGAGTATCTTAATGTCCAAGTGTCAGAGTTGGAAAGAAGCTTGTGAGACCTTTTAGTCCAACCCATCACTTGGCATCTGAGGCCTAGAGAATGTAGGAGAATTGAATAGTGTCATCCACATTGCAGACAGAGCCAGTCTCCGGGGACTCTATTCTAAGAATCTTTCATCCACCAAACCAAGGGAATGTGTTATCTAATTACTTACTCATTCTATCTGCCTTTGTTTCATTGTTGATCTGAAGTTTAACCAGTAAACTTAGATCAGTGTCTAGCACAGAGTAGGCATTCAGTGCACCTTTAGTGAAGGAAATTGCTAACTTCATAATCCTTGAGGTCCACAAACAATTGTGTGTGGGGGAAATCACTGATTTCTGTCTCGGCTGTGACATTAATAACCTAGTAAGTAAACCTGCAAACTGTCCGTTGCTTAGCCCTCATGGAACTGCCATCTTCCTGCAGGCCACGGATTGTGTTCCTTCCAGTTGCTGCTCTGGGTGTCATCAGATCGGCATGAAAAAATCCAGAGTGGTCATTATTAATATTTCATCCCAAAGCAAAGAAATTGGCCATATGGTTAGGCTCTGAAGCCGTGTATAGGAAAATAAATGTGCTTTCATTAGACTGCTTGCGTTTTGGGGACTTGCTAATCCCTTCACAATATCAGGGACCACCATCCCTCTCCTTCCTTCTCCCTCCTTCTGCCCAGCTTGGCTGCTGTCAACTCCTGGAGGACCCCAGGGAACAGAGCCCCTCCTATAGTCAGCCCTCTCTTTCCTGCGTGCTGAGCCGGCAGTTGGTGTGTTTGGGGTTTGCCACGGTGTTCCCACTCTGCTTCTTGTGAGCCTCAGCCCTCTCAGGGCCACACCTTAGACCCTCGGCCCTGCAGCCAGCCAGGAAAGATGGGCACCCACTTGGTGGGTTTTTTCAATCCACTTAGTCTTTTTTCAGTCCCACAAACTGAAAGGCTGCTTTATGGGTCACTGAGGAGAGGGGTTAAGGTCAGCAGCACTCATGAAGCAGGCATCACGGGTGGTCTGTCCTGGGGCAACAGACCGGTCCTCCCACCACGGTGTCTGCTGGCAGGTGGAGGTGTGGGAGCTGGATATGGCAAAAACCTAACCTCCGGGGCTTGCCCAGGGTGGCCCCTCAGTTTCCCAGCACAGCTCCCATGTCTGCCTGCACTCACAGTGCCTCTTGGTTCCTGTCTTGTATAACGCAAGTGTGAATTGTGTTTGTCATTTCGGGCCTACCAAGCATGGGATTTGGGAGAAGAGACAGGAAGATCAGAGGGGGACCATCCTCCCCGAGGCCTGGCCCAGGAACCCAGGCCAGCCTTGGGGCTAGGCAGGGCCAGACTGGACATTTGTCCATCTCAATTGAGGACATCTGCAAGACTTCTCCAGGCTCTGCAGACAGACTGCCATGCCCAGCGCTTGTGGACTTGGGATCTGAAACTTCTCAGGCTCTGCCCACTCAGACCCAGCCATCTCCAAACCCTTCTCATATCCACCACTTGCACGCAGTTGTTCAGTGCATGGAGGCCCTCCACCCTCCCCCACCTCACCAGGCAGCTGCCTGCCATGCTCAGACCCCTCTGCCCAGCCTTGTGGATGGCCTCCTCGTGGAATGCCATCAGGCTGATGAAGGAAAGAGGCGTTCAGAGAAATGGGAAGGAACGGTGTGCAGCCCAGGCTTTAGTGGCCAGCAACAGGCTTCGAGCTTGTTCCATGGCCACCAGGAACAGGCAGCCTCCCCTCTGTCACATGGGGTCTCAGCACTGCATGAAGCTGCAGGCTCATCCTTGTCATTGCTTGCATTTTAGGAAGATGATGAGAAGCTTATTGAGGAAATTCAGAAGGAGGCTGAAGAGGAACAGAAAAGAAAGAATGGAGGCAAGTGCCCCTCCCCAGGCCCCCAGGACAGAGCAGCAGCCCCGCCCTGCAGCACAGCACTGCCAAGGGAGCAGAGGACCACAGACCATGTGGGCTCCTGCTGGCCTCCCTGGGTGTCCTGGCACTCAACCCAGCACGGGAGAGGAGGGGGTGCTGTCCCTCAGGTGGCAATAGACCTGACTCCACCCGTGCAGCCACATCTCAGGCCTATGGAAAGGCCCTCAAAGCCTTCAGTATAGTTTTGGCATCTCCTTGATGGTGAGGAAGTCCCAAGGGATGGGTTTGCTCTCTGGAATCAAACAAGCCACACCTGGCTAAAGAAAAAGTAGGCCCAGCTGACGCTTCCGAGGCTAAAAAGCAGTGAAGCCAGACGTGTTGGCACACGTCTGCGATCCCAGCTCCTCAGGAGGCAGAGATGGGAGGATCACTTGAGCCTAGGTGTTTGGGGCTAGCCTGGCCAAAAGAGCAAGACCCCATCTGTTTTTCCTTTAAAAAAAAAAAAAAAAGGGCTAAGTGCAGTGGCCCACAACTGCAATCCCAGCACTCCGGGAGGGTGAGGCAGGTGGATCACTTGAGCCCAGGAGTTTGAGACCAGCCTGGGCAACATGGCAAAACCCCATCTATTTAGAAAAAAAAGAAAAAAATGAAAATGTAACTTGAGTCACTGAGGTGGCCCATCAAGGCCCTGGCTCTGAAGGATGCTTTGCTGACCTGGGTGGATGGACATGCCACCTTCCAAGGTGCCACTGTAGAGCAAGACACCAGGGGAAGTGCAGATTTGTCCTTGGTTTCTTGTAGTGGCATTTGAGGGGTGTCCACGTTTTGTGCTTTGATCAACATGTGGAGCCACTCCTGTGTCCAGAGGTTGCTGTCCTGGTCCCAGGCTAGATTCCATTGAGGTTGGTTTAATGTTTTTCTCCACTAATCCCCATATCCCTTTCAGAGAACACCTTCAAACGCATTGGACCCCCGCTGGAGAAGCCTGTGGAGAAGGTGCAGAGGGTGGAGGCCCTCCCGAGGCCCGTTCCGCAGAACCTGCCACAGCCACAGATGCCGCCCTACGCCTTTGTGCACCCACCCTTCCCCCTGCCTCCCGTGCGACCTGTGTTCAACAACTTCCCTCTCAACATGGGGCCTATCCCAGCCCCATACGTGCCCCCTCTGCCCAACGTGCGGGTCAACTATGACTTCGGTCCCGTCCACATGCCCCTAGAGCACAACCTGCCCATGCACTTTGGCCCCCAGCCGCGGCATCGATTCTGATGGCCCCGAACCCCCATTGAGCAGCACAGAGCCCGTTTGGGGTGGGAGTGTGTATAGAGAACCCTCCCCCACCCCTCCCCCAAGGCTGGTGGCTATGCCATTGCATCTTAGATCAGGTTGAAGGGTAGGCTGGTTTTCTTCCCACCCCTTTCCCAGAAGGGCCACTGCTCCCAGAAGAGTGGTCACAGCTGGTGGCCCTCTGGGGGCCTGCATGGGATTGGTCTGGCTCCCACTGGGCAGAGTTAAAAGGGCCTTGAAGCCCTTCCTGAAGAGTTCTGCCATCCTAGCAGGCAGCATGGTGGCCCTGGCTGCTGTGTCACTCCAGTCCCTACAGAAAGAGACCAAGAGGAAATACTTTGCCTGCATTCATTTTTACTCCTAGCAAACACCAGGGAAAAACCTCTCAGAATTAAAACCACATGAGCCTTCCTTACATAGCACAGACAGATCCATAATAAAAATGAAGTCCCAAATGGTGGAGTTCAGAGAGAGCTGCGATGTGAACTGCTCCTCCCCTCCCATCCCCCCAGGCCACCAGTGGCAGCCCTTCTGCCTTGTCCATGGCATAGGTCGTAGGCCAGGCCCTTGCTACTCACACCTGGGCCTCCTCGGAGTGGACCCCTGGGGAGCAAGGCTGCCGAGAGCATTTCCCTGGAGGGGCCCACAGTTGGGCAGAAGGGGCTGCACCTGCAGGCCCGGGAAGCATTGCTCAGGGTGGGGGGCCGGGACCATGGCCCACAGAGGCACTGCCACCACCGTGATGGCCAAGATGCTGTCCCCCCATCTAGAACCCGTGCACCACTGCAGTGAGTGTTGAGGGCACCTGTTCTCTCCGCTCTTAGACCTACTCAGATGAGGCAGCAGCAGACCCTTCTCGCGGCAGGGGTTTTGCTCTGTTACGGTCTGTCTCACCCTCAGTCTCTGGAAAGTCAGACTGAGAAATCCTTTCCCAGGCCAGGCCGCTGCAGTGCACTGGATGGTTCTGAAGCTAGCCCATCGAAAGAGCCTCTTGAGGTAGCTAAGAGAGAGGCCTGGTGGCCCTGCCAGGCAGCCCAACTGCTAAGGGAGACATTTCTGCTACCCTGGGTGATAAGCAGCTTTTCCTCTCTGGCTTTTTGGGGGAGGAGTGGGCCTCCTGAGGGAGACAGGTGACCCTGGGTGCTGCCCCTGCCCCGTGTGTTCCCCTGGGTGTTCTCAGTGGTTGGTGAAGGCAGGTAGAGGGTGCTTTCTAGTACCTCCCATGTGAGGGCCACTTCCCTTCTCATGGGGTCAGCTGAGCATCAGCTCGGCCCTGCCATGTCCCCACTCACCCTCCTCGCCTCCTGTCCTGCCCCAGGTTTCTAGCCATGCCCAAGGCATCACTCTGGCCCATTGGCAGATGAGAGGCCTGAAACCTTCCTGGCTACAGGCCATCACTTTCTCCTCCCCGTGGCCTGCATTGTCATGTTACCATGAGGTTCCAAGAGGTTTGGAGTTCACAGACCTCAGACACAGTTGAGCCCAACAACCATTGGGGTGGGGCTGTCTCAGCCTCCGGAGTGGCCTGCCACCTCCTGCATCAGGGCCTGGCCCACCCGAGGTGCCTAGGGCAGGCGGGCACCATCATTTGCTGCCATTGGCTTCTCAGATGTATTTCACGGACTAAAGTGGGTTTAAAAAGATCTAAGATGGCCCAGTGCGGTGGCTCCCGCCTGTAATCCCAGCACTTTGGGAGGCCAAGGTGGGCGGATCACCAGAGGTCGGGAGTTAGAGACCCCGTCTTTACTAAAAATGCAAAATTAGCTGGATGAGGTGGTGCATGCCTGTAATCCCAGCTACTCAGGAGGCTGAGGCAGGAGAATCAAACCTGGGAGGCAGAGGTTGCAGTGAGCCAAGATTGCGCTATTGCACTCCAGCCTGAGCAACAAGAGCAAAACTGTCTCTCAAAAAAAAAAAAAAAAAAAGATCTAAGATACCCATTATTTCTGCCTTTGCCCAGGATGGAGGCTTTGAAGACAGGTGGTCACCTGGGCATGGGGTAAGGGTGCGTTGGGGGGCCGGGCTTGGGGGCAGCCTGCTGCTATGTCCTTGCGCCCCTACCTGTTGGGCTGCCTGAACTTTGCTACCAGCCTGAACGACAGTGCCTTGGAAAGGCAGGCTCCACGCGGCAGCAACAGGATTGTCTTCAGTACCTTCAATATGCTCCCTGTGCTTTCCCAGGGAGGATCTCTGGGAGCAGAGGGCAGCTGCAGACATGCCAGCTGAAGAGGAGGTGACCTCAGGCCCAGGGAGCCTCAGTTCCCTCTGCCCTGCACCCTAGGCACGTGGCTCCAGCAAGGGGCCCAGGCAGGACAAAGGGAGCAGGCAGCAGCTGCGGAAACAGCCCTAGACAGGTGCTGGCCTCAACCCTGGCAGGGGAGGGGGAGCCCAGAGTGATGTTTCTCCTAAGGCCAAACCCCAAGGGTGGGTCATTTGAGAGGAGTTCCAGCTGTTTCTGGCCACACTGGGCTGGTGGGGAAGGAGCTGCTGCCTTTTTCCTTGGAGGGTCCCTGATTCCTGAGGATCCTCCCTGAGCCAGGCACAGGGGACCGCAGGGCTGCTGTGAGCACCCACCTTGGCTCTCCAGGCCCCTCTGTCCAGAGGCAGGGCCTGGACCTCAGGCTCCTGCCTCGACCAGGGACGGGAGAAAAGCACTGGGTGTCTTCTGAGCAGCCAGCAGGAGGTCGTGCCGGTGCCCAGAGAGCAGGTCAGACCACAGGCAACCCTGAGGCAGCTGGCACCTCCTCTCTTCCCCTGCAGGGCTTGCCCCAGGGCACAAGGCTCCCCAGCCACAGCCCCCTCTTACTTGCCTTAAAACTGGAGAGAGGAATCTAGTATTTGCACTTAGCAAAATATTTAAAAACTGAAAAAAATGCATGATCTGTCACTTTGTATAAAAATAGAAAAAACGATTAAACTTTTTCTTTACCTTCCAGTAGTAAAAATAGATAAAATAATTCCGTTTCAACTACTGTGTGTAAAAAGCCTGTATCATATGTAACTGGGACTTTTTGTAAATAAATGTTTGTGCGCTCTGCTCCTTCTGGCTTCATCTCTCCATACCGCCATCCGGCAAGTTACAGGGGCAGCTGACAAATTCGTCCAAGTGATTCGATCTAAACCAGCATCCGCACCTTCATGACTGGGTCCTGGCAGGATCAGGCCTGAAAGGCCCGGTAGTAGAATCCCCCACCACTCCCCTGCGAGGGAGGAAGATCAGGTGATCTGCTAGGCAAATCCTGCTAGGGCGGCTACCAAGGCCCAGATTGGGCACAAAGGGTCTATTTGTTTTTGGCACAGAATCCCCTTCAAGAAAAGGGCAGTCAGTTTCTTTTGCAGGCCCCTTTCCCAGTCTCTGCCCACCTAAAGGTCAGGTAAACCAGGAGAAGCCTCACCCAGCTGAGGAAGGGACAAGGTTCCAAGAACAGGAGGTGCCTGGGCTGAGAGGCCATGGCATTTGAGCCCCTTCCCTGACTGGTGACATGCTGCAGTGCCAGGGCCCTGCTACCCTTGCTGTTGGCACAGCCTCTTCCCCTCCAGAGCCCTTCCTGCCATGTACCAGGCCAGGCAGGAATCTGGACCCTAGATCTGAAGGGGGCCCTGGGCACAGGGGAAGCTGTGACCTCCAAATGCAGATGGACCACAGCTCGCTTTAATAAAACATGGGGTCTCCTACCATATGCAACTTTCTATAGAACAATCACCTGTTTTTCGCATGTCTGAGAAAAAGTATACTAAAAGCTTCAAGAGAAAAGTTACATCACCCGAAAAGTTACCCACATTTCCAGCTTCTAAACAATGCGTTTTTGGTTTTTTCTGAAACGGAGTCTCGCTCTGTCACCCAGGCTGGAATGGAGTGGTATGATCTCGGCTTACTGCAACCTCTGCCTACCAGGTGATTCTCCTGCCTCAGCCTCCTGAGAAGCTGGGATTACAGGCATCTGCCACCACTCCAGGCTAATTTTTTTGTATTTTTAATAGACACGGGGTTTCACCATGTTGGCAAGGCTGGTCTCAAACTCCTGACCTCAGGTGATCTGACCACCTTGGCCTCCCAAAGTGCTAGGATTACAGGCGTGAGCCACCACACCGGACCCAATTCATGTTTATTTTTAATTTGTTCATGGCATGCAGTCATTGTTCCTGTTCCTCCTCTATATTTGCAACAACAACATAAAATTTTCTGCAATTTCAGTAAATAAATAAAAGCTATGTATCCGTTCTGCTGCTATCCTTTTTCCATCCAAAGTGACCAGGGTGGTGGTATTCGTCCCACCTTCCCCAGGCGCTGGCCAGCACATTGCAACACGTCTGATCAGGATTTGGGGGCCTTTGGTTTTAAAGAAGTTAGTACCTTGCTTTTCTTGCTTTTCTCCCTTAACGGTCATGGACTGGCCTCCAGGTCTATAGCTCTGTCTGCATCCAATTTGTTCTTTTTATGTCTTCCATGATTTTTTTTTTTTTTTTTTTTTGAGACAGAGTCTTGCTCTGTTGCCCAGGTTGGAGTGCAGTGGCACAATCTTGGTTCACTGCAACCTCCGCCTCCCAGGTTCAAGCGATCCTCCTGCCTCAGTCTCCCGAGTAGCTGGGTTTACAGGCATGTACCACCACACCTGGCTAATTTTTTGTATCTTTAGTAGAGACAGGGTTTCACCATGTTGGCCAAGCTGGTCTCAAACTCCTGACCTTGTGATCTGCCCGCCTTGGCCTCCCAAAGTGCTGGGATTACAGGCATGAGCCACTGCACCCGGCCAGTTTTTATATTTTTAGTAGAGACGGGATTTCACCTCGTTGGCCAGGCTGGTCTTGAACCCCTGACTTGAAGTGATCCACCCCCGCCTCGACCTCTTAAAGTGCTGGGATTATAGGCGTAAGCCACCGCACCTGGCCTACTTTTTTCTGTCTTTCTGAGACGAGATCTCACTCTGTCTTAGAAAAAGATCTAAGACTGCATTCCCAGGCTATAGTGCAGAGTACAGTCATGGCTCACTGCAGCCTCAACCTCCCAGGCTCAAGCAGTCACACCTCAGCCTCCCAAGTAGCTGGGACTATAGGCATGGGCCACCATGCCCAGCTAATTTTTGTATTTTTTGTAAAGAGGTCTCAATGGCCGGGCAAGGTGGCTCACTCCTGTAATCCTAGCACTTTGGGAGGCCGAGGTGGG